GGTACGCAAACCTTGACAACAACCTTACGAAGGCCCTTTTCACGTGATCGCTCGTCACGAAAAGACCTTCAAGGTTGATCGATATGGACGCGTCGAGATCGTCAGCATTGATCGTCTCAAACCAGCACACGTCGATGACAGTGCCCTATCTGACACCCTGAGATTCAATGCTAGACCTATCAAACCTAGCGGGATCCTTAAATCTTCTTCAGGTCCCACGCTAGATGCATCTGAGACCTCATTCTCACGTCCCGGTCAACAGCACGCGTCATCTGCACCGTCTACGGACGAGACGACAGTCTCACGTCCAGATCAGCAGACCACGCCGCCTCTGACCTCGGATGAGATTGCAGGCTCACGAAATACGAACGAGACTGCCGTCTCACGTTCGGGTCGCCGAGTACGGTTACCCGTACGCTTCCGCGACTAGCCGCACAGTCAACAACCGATACGGTGTAGGGTTATTCCTATACTACACGTATGCTACACTCCTCTTTTTTTGATTTTCTTTTTGTTTCCTGAGCCCACGCCTTCGACCATCTCCGTTTGGTTCCGTCGACTTCAGTCAACTTTGGCGAAAGCTGGATTGGCCACCCACGCTCTTCTCAACGTACTCAGTCGATATATTGGTTTCGAATGCTTGGCATACGCTTGGTCTCAAACTTGGTCGTTACGGTCGCTTCTGGTCTTTTGGCTCAACGTGGTTTCGTCCTTTGTCTGTAGCGTTTATGGTCCGGACCCGTACGAACGCCCTCTTCAGATTCTGGATACAAACCACCCTCGTGTAGCATGCCAACTCAAGCAATACATACAGCACATCGCTCCTGGTACCGTTCTCCGGAAACGACCTTCGTTGGCAACTCGACGTTCAACGATCGCTTTCCTGTTCGCAATTCTTCCGTCCTACAATCGCTCGTCAGCCCATCAGTCCCACGATTTAAACCGCTATTTATCGAAAGTGTTAACCCTTTCTAGCGGGGGGCTCCTGTAGTGACTCACATTTATCACGAGAACACGACTGGTTTAATAAAAACGCTTATTATTATAACCAAGTGTACCAGTGACTGTTTTAATGTGCTTTTGTTTGACTGTGCTAATGACAGCTATTTTGTGCTTCCACTCTTATACTTACACTTCGATTGTAACTTCGCGCGAATTCGGTTACCTTCTGTAACCAAGGTTGTATCCTGGCACGATCTCGGTATCCTTTCGATGCCACGAGATCGCCAGCCAAATATAACTCGACTTGGTCCATTAATTGCCTCCTGGTATTTGGCTTCTCGGGGATTTTATGGATCTATTTGGTTACGTCCAACCTTCGCCTTCTGATTCGCTTGGCACGTGTTTCTTTGTAGCGGTGTTCATAGTTAATCACAACTCGACGCTACGCTACAGACATGCGAGAAATGAACAAGAATTGGATGGAACTAGAAAAGAAGGCCCAGAACAGAGTGGGTTGGAGAATACTGGTCGGCGGCCTATGCTCCATTAGGAGTAACGGGCATAAATAAGTAAGTAATATTACATTTTTACTTCTACAATAAATAAAACCATACAACACCTAATGAAACAAGGAATGCGGTTAAACTAAAAAATTATTGTTGTATAATAGCAAAGTGAATACATCAGTTCGCTCACTTAATTTTGTAACGTAGTAAATAATAACTAAATAGACAGTGTTAACATCCAAAATTAATTACTGATGGTTTGTATCCTACAATTATTGGATGATCAAGGAAGCATATTTGGAAGTATTTTCCAGAGTGCATAAACGACATAATATGAACCACTATCTGGAAAGGAAGAAATTAAAACATCAAGTACTTGATATCACTTCCTATCCGCTGAAATTATGTATTCACTTGTCTTTGGACAGAAAATACTTATAACAATCAATGTTCTGATAGCTTGGATAATTAGAGTGAATATTAAAAGCCCTCTTCGCGAAACAAAAAACAGAATATTAAGAAAAGATGGATGGTTTCTAACAGTACAATCCAAGATAAGTGTTTTGTCTTATTTGGGACTCGTCAGCTGAATGTACCTAAGGCAATATAGAGACAACCTGCATAGAAGACTGAGCAGTTGCAGTCTCAAACACCAATGGGAAGATTCAAACAAACAATACAAAAATGTAGTGAGACATAATATTGCTTTTAATTAGATTATCAGGTTTTACTAGATGTAGATCATCGTATTTTACATGAGCCTAGTAAACCACCCTCTGGGTATACATCAAGGGATAAAAAATTTACCCCTTATTGTCAGCATCAACAGCGAGAAAATCTATAGTACATATATAAAGTCTAATTGCAGCAGTGCTAGATGATACAGTTATTCGTAGCCTTATTATTAATGCAATCACAAAGCTGCCAGTTTATATGAATTGGATTAAACTTAATCTGTTTAATAGGGTACAGATATGTCTTTTAATGGCTAGCAAAATAATAACAATCGATTACGGCAGAAAATAAAAAAACAATATAGGAGTTTAGTGACCCTGTATCTAACTTCAGTTCGGTCGTGTGATTATCTCTGTCGACTTATACATATTGTCATTCCTCGTATATAATCATAGAATTAAATCGCGTTGGTAAATCACGTAATTAGGTAGGTCAAATACAAGAATAGATATCGAATACGTATATTTTATGCAATCATTGATTCATACAAACGATCGGAGAAGCGAAGCGAAGTGACGCACGGTGAAGAATACATGAGGACAAACTCATTTTGAACAAGCGTGGACCTATATTTATAGTCAAATAAAAATATACTACAGACATGTGATAACTTAGGTGAGAAATGCACTATAGTACGCTCAAGTAAAATAATCAAGGTTGATAAGCTAATAACTGACAGGGTCATAATGCGGCTCGAGAAGAACGGATAAACTGGCCTGTCCGGAAGCTAGGACAAACTGTGTGGGCTTGACATAGCAACCGACAATACATAAGAATGAGCATTCATCCTACTTGCTTTGGGTAAACTGACCACACTTCACTGTAATCAAAACAACATGTATAAGAAAAAATATGACGCCTCATGGTGACGTCCACACGACGACGCTTATCCCGACAAGCAAGGTAACAATAAATATTAAGAGAAGGAAAGTTCGAACAAAATAGGAGTGCAGTAGAAGTACTGAAACAGCATCAGAGATAAGAATAGAGAAAACGTATGTGTCCGCAATGAGCGGAACACATCAGAAGATCGACTGGAAGAAAGCACTACTATGAAGAGGAAGCAGGAAGGCACTAAACAGGAAATCACTTCAACATGCCAGGACATTCTTGACCTTGCGAAGCAACAGAGAAAAAACTGGATAGTTAATGATACTCCGCATAGAGGAGAGTAGGTTACCGAACAGGATCCTCCAACATACTCTGTCATCGGCTGTCCTTCCCAGTTGTTCCCAGTTGCCATCCATTCTATTGATGGCTGCCTCCGATTCTTGATGCGACGTGTTCCTCGGTCTCCCTTCTCTCCTCTTCCAGTCAGCATTCCATATTATGGATCACCTCATGAATAAGTTTCATGATTTCTGCAAAGTATGTTCTATTTCCTCTTCAGTTAGAAGCTGATTTGTTCTCTACCACAGTGGACTGTTGCTGATCGTATGCGGTCAATGGATATTGAGTATCTTGCGTAGACAACTGTTTATCAATACCTGTACATGTTTGATGATGGTTGTTGTAGTTCTGTAATTTTCAGCTCTGTACAGTAGAACTGTCTTGGCGTTTGTATTGAAGATTCTGACTTCTACGTTGGCTGATAGTTGTTTTGAGTTCTATATGTTCTTCTCTCGTATGAATGCTGTCCTCATGCCTTAACATCTGTATCCGATCATCCTTGATCATCAATGATGAAAGCCAGATACTTGGAAGCTTCCACCTCTTCCAGAGCTTCTCCATCAAGTATGATTGAGTTGGTGTTCTCCGTGTTGTATTTGAGGATCTTGCCTTTTCCCTTGTGTATGTTGACTCTCACTGCTTTCGAGGCTGCTGTTACACTGACTATCTTCACCTGCATTTGTTGTTGTGTTTGGCATAGAAGAGTCGGGTTATCTGTGAAGTTCAAATCGTCTAGCCACATCTAAGCTGTTCATTATATTCCCTGCTTCGCCTCAGATGTCGAGGTCTTTATAATCTGATCGACCAACAGAAGAAATAAAAGAGTGAAGAGTAAGCAGCTCTGTCTGACACTGGTCTTTACTTGGAATGCATCTATAAGCTGTCCTCCACACAAAGCTTCACAGTATAGGCTTTTGTATGAATTACGTATTATAGTGACAACATTCTCATGCACACCATAGTGTTGAAGCGGGTTCCATAAGATTTTCAAATCCACACTGTTAAACGTCTTCTCATAGTTGAGGAAGTTGATACATAGTGTGGAGTTCCATTAAAATGATTTTTCAATGATGATCTGTATTGTCGCAATTTTCAATACTCCATCGACCCTTATGAATTCCAAATTTTGATCTCGAATTTGGGCATAAGTCGAATAGTTCATGGATAAGTTGAGAAGCATTTGATTTAAGTTGGTTTTTTATTGTGAGAAATGCGCATTACGACCTAGTCACTCGTGATCTGATGCGGATGCATGATCGAACGCCTCCATCTGTGGTTTGTTCAGTGAAGCTAGTGAGTCCAGTGTCAACGTCGTATACATACAAAACTACATATTTTTGAGATTTACTTACTACTACAGCTGTTTACAGTGACTGCGTAGGCCCTTTCAAAGACAATCAAGAGTGTTAATGATACGCTGAAGCATCCTTTCTGCATTCAAGAAGTACATGTTAGATGTTTAGCTACATCATCCATCCCCTACATTGGGATATTCTTTGCAGCACCATTCATAACAGAATATCAGTATTCCATTAAGAGTAGGAAGAGAGAAGTTCAGATAAGAGATCTTATTTTGTTCAAAGGAAGATGAAGACATTCTAAACAAATTTGATTTATTCATTAATGAAAGATTATTTGTTTAGACCCGTACTTGGGGCGCGACTTATGGTCTTAGACGTTGGTGTGTTACCAATTCAGTTAGTGTGGTATATCAGACATATTACAAGTGATACTTAACATTGTTTCTTTAATCACTGATTCATGTTCATTAGAAAAGTCCTGATGCAACTTTGTTCTTTGAAAATCTTCCTAGAGGCAATCGTTTGCGCAAGGCTTATATTAAAATATATATCGAACCTAGTTTTAGTTCCAAACAAAAATTTAACAACTAGTTCCTACTATCTAAATATAATCATAGTTCCCAGCATAACTTGTAAACAGCTCTTACATGCTTGGCTTCTCGGGCAGATATATCATAGTAGGTTTATCTCACCTTTACCGAAAAGAGATGTAAGTAGTTGGTTTGAATTTCGGTCTCATATTCATACCTCATCTATGTGCAGACTGAAGTCAACACCTTTCCATGTTTCTATGGATTGGGTTTTTGAGGATTAACACTACCAGCGTTAGTTAACTAAAAAGTTAAGTCTAGTAATGAAAGTCAATATGTAGGTGACTATCATTAGTCTATGTTATAACTGGGGAAAGCATGAGCAATGCAAGGATATAATTATTTAAAATGATAAAAAGCAGGTTCTGTGCATGTATATGAATGTTTGTGCTTGCTAATGATGACTATCCTGACCCCTGAAATGTATCCATCAAAACATTTGCATTTATTATTTTTGTATGGGTCGCTCATTTTTTGCTTGACATTTTGGACTATTCCACTGCTTAATAAGCATTAGAATATTGATAAGCACGGCGTTCTTGCACTTCCGCTGTAAACTTATAGTGAGCCCCTCATACATGTTATATAGTAAAAAGAGCTAATTGTAGTGGTCTCTGATCGACGAACGGTAGTCATTAAACATACAGTCAGCCCGCTTTGCGAGTCACTTCTCTCCTGATCGATCACCTGACACTTGTTTCATCAGAAAGTAGAGTCCGGTCCACTAATTAGTTGTACGTGGCGTTCCAACCACTCAAATATTGTCACGAATCCAGATTCTACTTGGGTATGGGCAACTGTGTAGTGCGACCAGCTTGCAGAAAAGTATGGGCTCAAATCTGAGCAGATAAATCTGTATCAGGTAAATAATTTACATTCTAATGTATACGAGGTGTAAGGATTGAAGCAAAACTGTTTGTAGATGTAATTCAGGAGTATTTCCTTTTAACAATTAAGTAGTACACTGTTAGTCTGTGGTCCTAAACTCTATATAGTAGCTCTTTGTAAGGCCCATTTTCACCCTCCTCCCCCCGTATGCTGTGCATCAGTTGAAATGGTCAACCGGAATGCCTCCATTCATGTCACTTGTGTACCTATGTTCTGTATCATCATTCTAGAATGTAATGACTTGGTACCCTATCACTAAACATGATGTATACATTTTAAAACTCAGGCACAGGTTCTTGTATGCGGCGTTTAATCACTTCTCTTTATGTGAGGACTAATGGCACAGCCATGTTGCTCAAAATGAAGTAGCTAGCCCCAGGTTTGAATTCCTAGACCAGGGTTATAAGGTCAATTGCTCTAAATATTAACCCACTACTCCATATAACTGAGACAAAATGGGGAGAGATGTAGTAAGACACCATTTTGTTTGGCGGTGTATTTGGATAGTCAATGATAATACTTAGTATGTAAAGTTCAAGACGTTAAGGTACAGATAGATTTTTATGTTCTAAACGCTCAGTAATACTAATACTTGCTTGGCATATTGGCTGTTCTTAAAGATCGGTAGTATTCACTGAACGAAGTTTAACTCATCCCTTAAACTGTTATTGGTTGTACATTGCTAACTACAATGTTTTGTTCGTTAATTGGACTCAAGCATTGTTTCACAATAACCTTCCGAACATTTATTGTACGTAAGTCCTCTAATAAAAATCACTACCCCTTCGATTAACAGTTTACGCTAAGAAACTTCAGTTGAGATGGCTTGGACATGTGTCACGTATGCCCAACGACCGACTGCCTCGATGTGCGATGTTCAGTGGTATAGGAGTAGGTTGGAAGAAAGCTAGGGGCGGCCAGACCAAAACATGGCACAAGTCCATGAAGTCACTGACAAGTGGTCTGAGTCATGTCGGTAGGTGTAGACTACCTGGTTGGGGACCGCGAGATGATAGCAACCGATGGTTAGAGACCCTGAATGACATGGCTCAAAATCGTTTGCAATGGCACAGGTGCATCTACTCTTTGTGTTCTCCCAAATTTTGATCTCCTTGTCTCTTTTTTTCTCCTCTCAAATTTATTTCACTGTATTATACTCTTTAAGTAACATCTCCAAACACTAATCTTCCCGATTACTGCTTATACTCTTATTACCTCTACTACTACGGGATTTGAATCGACCACTGCATCTCTATGCTAATGTGGTGTGGCAACTCGAACTGATGTACGAAGTTCTACGTTGTTACTGACTGACTGACTTACGCTAAGAAGTTTAAGGACACATTCAACATCTTGATCTTTCCCATCTAGTTGCGCTTTCAAAACTGTAAATCTTAACTCGTTCTACTAAATGGTCATTAACAACCAACTGGAGAATCCCGATCCCAAGGGATACTTACTTACGCCTGTTACTCCCCACAGAGCATAGGCCGCCGACCAGTATTCTCCAACCCACTCTGTTCTGGGCCTTCTTTTCTAGTTCCATCCAGTTCTTGTTCATTTCTCGCATGTCTATTTCCATTTCTCGGCGTAATGTGTTCTTTGGTCTTCCTCTTTTCCTTTGGCCTTGAGGATTCCATGTGAGAGCTTGCCTTGTGACGCAGTTGGGTGCTTTCCTCAAGGTGTGTCCTATCCAATTCCAGCGCTTCTTCCTCCGCCGAGATCTGGTTTGTTCTCTCCCACAGTACGTTGTTGCTGATAGTATCTGGCCAAAAGATCTGAAGTATTTTGCGTAGACAACTGTTAATAAACACTTGTATCTTCTGTGTGATGGCTTTCGTAGTTCTCCAGATTTCTGCCCCATATAGTAGAACTGTCTTGACATTTGTATTGAAAATCCTGACCTTGGTGTTGGTTGATAGTTGCTTTGAGTTCTAGATGTTCTTCAGTTGTAAATATGCTGCTCTTGCTTTTCCGATCCGCGCCTTCACATTTGCATCAGATCCACCGTGTTCATCAATGATGCTGCCCAGATATGTAAAGGTTTTTACGTCTTCCAAATCGTCTCCGTCAATTTTGATTGGATTGGTGCATGCTGTGTTGTATTGAAGAATCTTGCTTCTCCCTTGTGTATGTTGAGACCTACTGCTGCTGAGGCTGCTGCTACACTAGTCGTCTTCTCCTGCATTTGTTGTTGCGTTTGGGATAGAAGGGCCAGATCATCTGCGAAGTCTAGATGTCGATTGTATCCTGCGTTTCCCTTCAGATGTTGACGTCTTCATGATCCAGTCGATCACCGGGAGGAAGAGAAAGGGTGAGAGTAAGCAACCTTGGATGATACCGGTCTTTACCTCAAACGAATCTATCAACTGTCTTTACGGAACCCAGCCTGTTGGTCTCGAAGTTGGGCGTCTACAGAATCCTTCATTCTGTTTAACAATACTCTGTTGAAGACTTTTCCCGGTATTGAGAGAAGAGTGATGCCCCTGTAGTTATCACAGTTGCTGAGATCGCCTTTCTTTAGTATCTTGATGAGGTGTCCTTTCCAGTCTGTTGGTACTTATTCTTCATCCCAAATCTTGCTGAAGAGGATGTGGAGTATCTTTGCAGTACTGCTACATCTGCTTTCAGTGCCTCTAGTGGAATGTCTGATCCTGCTGCTTTGCCGCTCTTAATTTGTCTGGTGGCCATGCTGATCTCTAATTGTTGGTGAACCAGCATCGATTGGGAGATCCGTGGGTGCTGCTTCAGTGTCGGGTGGGTTCGGTGGGGCTGGTCGATTCAAGAGTTCTTTGAAGTGTTCTACCCACCTGTTTCGCTATTTTTCAATGTTGGTGATTACTTTGCCTTCCTTACTTTTCACTGGTCGTTCTGGTTTACGATAATTTCTAGTGAGCTTCTTTGTGTCATACAATTGCCTCATTTTTCCTTAACTTGCAGCCTTTTCCGCCATCATTGCTAAATCTTCCACATATTTACGTTTGTCTGTTCTGATGCTCCTCTTCACTTGCTTGTTTAGTTCTGTGTATTCAGCTTGTACCTTGCCTTTTTCTGTTTTTGTTCGGCTGGTATTGATTGCTGCCTTCTTGTTCCTCCTTTCTTGAATCTTATCCAGTGTATCAACAGTGATCCCTTCCTTGTGGTTGTGCTTCTTGTGACTGAGAACCTCATGACATGTTGAAGTAATTGCCTCTTTTATCCCTTTTCAGTTGCTCTCCATCGTAGTCCCCTCTCCATTGAGTAGATCATGAAAGGTCTGGAATCTACTGCTGAGAACTATCTTGAATTCGTTGAGTTTGTGAGCATTCCGAAGAAAAGCCGTATTAAACTTTTGTGATGTTGTCCACCCCGTCGTCCAGTGCTTCTTGAGTTTCAATTTCATCTTGGCGACCAGCAGATGATGATCTGATGCTATATCAGCTCCTCTTTTGGTTCGCACATCCTCCATTGTCCTCCTGAACTTTTTGTTAATGCAGATATGATCGATTTGGTTTTGCGTAGTGTGATCCGGTGAAGCCCATGTGGTTTTGTCTATGCATTTATGCAGGAATATAGTGCCGCATATGACCAGTTTATTGAAAGCATATAGGTTTGCAAATATCTCACCATTTTTGTTCCTTTTTCCTTATTTATTTATTTATTTCAACACATAAATATTGGTACAGGAGGGCACCAAATATATATGCGCCACACCATAGTTGTGTGTGTGTGGTCTGTGATACTGCCCAGGTGTCCAGACCGAAGCAGGTGGTTTTCTTAGGGGGCCACACCCCGAGCCTCTAACCTAAAGGTCTGATCCACAAAGCAGTGGAGCATCGTGAGGAGATGCATTCCCATGGTAGCCGGTGACCAACGATTGGTTCATACGCCATTTGTTCCCGCAGGATACTGGAGCCCATGTGCACCATTAGTTTGAGATCCGGTTAAAGCGCCGGACATTCGCTTTTCGTCCTCTCATTTTCGTAAACAACACCCCCGTCCATGTCGTCCCATGATGTCTTCATATCCGGTGTTGTCCATTCCAACCTTGGGTATTTAGGTCTCCCATCAGAATGGTCAAGTCTTTTGTTAGGCAGTTCTGGACGATTGATTGCAGCCTATCGTAGAATTGATCTTTAACGTCTTCATTGTAGTCTTTGGTAGGCGCATAGCATTGGATGAGGTTCATTGTAATGCCCTCTTTGTTTTGAAGGAGGCTTTGATGATCATTGGTCCATGAGATTCCCATCCTATAAGTGTATTTCGTGCTTGTTTGGATAGTATCAATGCAAATCCTTGTGTATGTCTGACATTTTCTTCATGGCCGGAGTATAACAGAAGCTCCTCTGAAGCTATTCGTTGTTGTCCAACCTGCGTCCAATGTGTTCCACTGATTCCGAGCACCTCTAGGTTGTATCTCCTCATTTCTGCAGCAATTTGTAAGGTTCTTTCGGCCTCTCACATTGTACGAGCATTCCATATACCTAAATGAATGGTTGCTCTGGTTGTCAGAAGGGGCATCAGCTTCGTGATTTCCGAAGGAACTCGGCTTTCACCATGAGGTGTCATAACTCTTCTAAATGAAGACCTTCTGAATCTCAGGGTAGAGTTTAAATAGTTTGAATAATTTCTTTCTGGTTAGCGTTTTTTAACGGGTTGGTTTTCTACGGAATGAGGTCGCTAACCCCATGCCCAACCCTCCTCCTTTATCCGGGCTTGGGACCAGTAGTAGCCCAAGAGGGGCTTCAGGCGGAGTGTAATCGTAATTATTTTATGAGTACGTGATATTTACCGTATACTCAGTTGATATCGATTATTAAAGGATTCCCCCCTCCATAAAGCCACAGTAAATTAGACTAACCGTACCTGAATGTCATCGCACTTAATTGCCTGATAAGTTTTTTTAGATTCCTTGACTCAATATCAAGAGTAGTGAATGAATGGTACTTACTCCATTTCTTAGTAGCCAAGATTCTGATTTCCGAGTAATATATTGTTCTAACTCGTAAAAGCACATTTTCGTGATAACTTTATCCGTCTATGTCGACTTAATAAAGACTTTATTATGGTTCAAAAATTTTGGTACATTTAGTTTACTCTCGAAAGACATTAGGTACTATTTGTTTCTAATATACTCTTGATAGATCTTTAATTGCTCTAGTTCTGTTTCGATCAAACGTAACACCTAAGCTGTTACAGTTTTGTTGAGGTATAGTGACTTAACTCACTGACGTAGTACAGATTTGTATATTCAACTTTAAGCCACCTTGTGCGAGGATTAGTGATGCTATCAGGCTGACCAAACTGAAGTAGGTAGAGTGGTACTCAAATTTGTAGTGTACTGACAAAAATTCAAACATTATTCGAATTGGCCATTCCATGTAAATGCGTTTGTCTGTAATTAATCATAGTTACTTTAGTCCCAGTTTTTACATCTGAATACCAAATACTGTTGTTTAAGACTTGAATTACATATTTTTTTGAACTCCAGTTGTAGACTTAGTGGAGTGGTTGCTTATTGTTTAAGGCATCCAACTTATGGCCACTAAGTCCCAGGTTCAAACACTCCCCTACCTTTCTCAGTTTGGGCAACTGGCTGGTATCATTATTCCTCATATAGAGTGTACCTTATACCCAAGTACTCGGAGTTCACCTAAAGCTTGGTCTTGTGTAACATGTCCAGAAATTTAACGGAAAAACCTTTCCTTTACATATAAAATCCATCCCAAAAATAGGAGAGCGAGACTTAGAATCCTCCATATCGAGATTTTTCGCTGAGGTTCTATATCAAAACAAAATTAAGTAAAAAGTCGGTATTCAGTTATGTAGATCGACTGTTGGTTGTCAGGTTTAATATTATCAAAATCCAAGAAGTAACTTTTCATTGGCGTCAATTCAAAATTAAGAAGTGGACAATTGTCCACTTTTGTAAAATTTCTTGCATTTTATACTGCACATATCTCACTAGAATTAGAGGTATTAAATAACCTCACTTGTGACATCTCCATGTACAAACCTCGATAATCGTAGGTTAGTTAACAGCTATCCGTAGTGAGTTTGAGGATATTACGATTACCTACTGAGTCCATAAAAACGAACTCATTATTGTATCCGATATACATCATTGACTAAATTCAAGCGGTTATTCTTTAATGTATTTTTTGCTTTAGAAACCTGATATGTCTACAGGCAGCAGTACTCGTCGAACTGAAGTGACAAACGCCAAAGTACGAATCAAAGCTTTTCCTCCTTCGATAGATGAGAGATATGCCAATCAGTTATGGGATCAGATTAAAAGTGCGATAATCGAGATTCAAAAGAAAAACAACAGTTGTTTAAGCTTTGAAGAACTCTACCGCAATGCGTACACTTTGATATTACAAAAACATGGTGAACGTTTGTATGCGGGGACAGAGGCTGTTGTACGTGAACATATGATCAAGATCCGCGATAGTATTGTTGAAAATCTAAATAATAAGTTTTTAACTTACCTTAACTCATGTTGGAAAGATCACCAAACTGCTATGGGAATGATTCGTGATATTCTTATGTACATGGATCGTGTCTACGTCGGCCCCCATAACCTGGATGGAGTTTATAAGATGGGAATGACTGTTTTCTGCGATCTCGTCGTACGTTATCCAATTATTAGAGAGCACTTGCAGAAAACTCTGTTGGATATGGTGCGCAGGGAACGCCGGGGCGAAGTAATATCCCGTTCTCAGATTCGCGATGCCTGTCAGATGTTTGTGCAGTTGGGGGCCGGATCATTACGTGTTTACCTTGAAGATTTTGAACAGCCATTTTTGGAGCAGTCAAGAGAATTTTACCGCACAGAAAGTGAAAATTTTCTTTCTGAGAATACTTCTGCTTCCCTGTATATTAAAAAAGTCGAACAAAGAATCGAGGAGGAAGTTCGAAGAGCACATCATCATCTTGATCCATCCACGGAACCCAAAATCGTCGTCGTATTAGAAGAGGAGCTTATAAGTCGACACATGGAAACTATTGTCGGTATGGAAGATTCAGGATTAACGTACATGTTAACTCATGATCACTTCAGTGATATCGCTGCTATGTATGGCGTTTTAAGTAGGGTTGAAGAAGGACCAAAAATAATGAGTAACTACATTAGCCTGTACTTAAGAGAGCAAGGAAGAAATACTGTACGTGATACTGGGTCATCAACACCCCAACAGCACATTCAAGATTTGCTTCAATTACGCGATCGCGCTAATGAATTACTAACGAGGGCACTTAATAATCAGACAATATTTCGTAATCAAATTAATTCTGATTTTGAGTACTTTGTCAATTTAAATCCTCGTTCTCCCGAATTTCTGTCATTATTTATTGATGAGAAACTAAAACGTGGCACCAAAGGTATGGCAGACCAAGATGTAGACGCCATTTTCGATAAGTGTATTGTATTATTCCGATATTTACAGGAAAAGGATCTATTTGAAGGTTATTACAAGAAGCATCTTGCAAAAAGGCTGTTATTAAGTAAAAGTCAGTCAGATGATCAAGAAAAGATTATGATATCCAAGCTTATGGCCGAATGTGGTGCTGTATACACAAGTAAACTAGAAGGAATGTTTAAAGATATGGCAGTGTCTAAAACCCTCATGGATGAATTCAATGTAGTACTATCTAATGGTAATCGCAATCTTAACCTAGATCTGTACGTTCGTGTATTAACTACTGGTCTTTGGCCAACTCAAGTAACTAATTCGAATGAAGTGTTACCAGAAGAAGCTGATACAGCGTTTAAAGTTTATAAAAAGTAAGTCGTTTTGTACACATGTGTTTTGCATAATAAACACTTACTATTGCTATTATGATCGTATTTAGTTCTAAATGTGTAACTAAGTTTAAAACATAAACCACCTCCCTAGAAATGAGTCACAATTGGTATGCTGAATGCTCCTAACACTGAGTTTCATTTTACCAGCGAAACGGTCTTTTTAGTAGCCTAAGTAATATTGGTACTTTGGTTGTCATTTAATAATTATATTTGTTTTGGTGATTAAAAATTTTGTACTTAATAAAGCATCAAATAATAAATCTGAAAAGTCCTCACACTAGTCGCTCACCAGATTACAGATGTACCAACTAATAGCCTTTTGTATGTGTTTCGTACAACTTCAACTTTCTGGTTTGTTGTGCACCGTTTCTTTTGTAGATTTTTAAACAACTATTATTAAAAAACATCTCATAATTCTCAGTATTTCCTTCCATTTACCTCCATAGACCTCTGGTAAACACCACTTGACGTACCGAATTCCACAAACTCTGAGTTAAATAACAGCATCCCCGTGGAGAAATTCACTCATTAACATTTCTACTAAACCTTTAAGAATCCCACTTTTAGTTTAAGGAGTATGATCGCAGTCTGATCTTGGTTAAGAAACTGACTGTGTTTACAAAGGTCTGGGAACTAGAGAGTGTACCAACGTCATGGAATGAGTCGATAGTTGTCCCTATCTTTACGAAGGGTTCACGTCGTTCGTGTAACAAATATCGGGGGATAAGTCTACTTCCGATTGCGTCCAAGCTATTGGCTTCCGTCATACTTCGTAGGTTGTTCGAAACCCGAGAAAGATTGACTCGCGAGGAGCAGGCTGGGTTTCGTTTTGTCGAGGATGTATTGATCATATCTTCACCCTCCGCCAAATGTTAGAACACCGCCATACTTATCACAGGCCAACAATCGTAGTGTTTCTTGACATCAGGGCTGCTTTCGATTCGTTGGATAGGACTGTTCTCTAGGATTGTCTATTGAAGAAGGGTGTGCCTGAGAAGTTTATTAACATCCTAAAAGCCCTATGTACAAACACCTCAGGCAGAGTGAAGGCATACAACCACCTCTCTCCATTGTTCCATTCGAGCAGTGGGGTTAGGCAGAGTTGCCCAATCTCACCATTCCTCTTCAACTTTGCCATCGATGACATTCTGGAAACAGCTCTGATGAATGTAAGTAATGGTGGTGTGGATCTGTTGCCTGGAGAAAGACTTCTCGACCTTGAGTATGCGAACGATATCGTCTTACTGTGCGATAATGCCCAACCCATGCAATCCGCACTTAATCAGTTGGCAATCAGTGTTCGTAGGTATGGTATGTGCTTTGCACCTTCGAAGTGCAAAGTACTTCTACAAGACTGGCAGGATTCTAATCCTGTACTCACCCTGGATGGTGAGCAGATAGAAGCAGTCGAGAAGTTCGTGTATCTGGGTAGTTGCATAAGTGCTGGTGGGGGTGTGAGTGATGAGATCAATGCAGAGCGGCTTATGCCAATCTGGGCCATCTCTGGCGCCCTCGTGATGTTAGTCTGGCTGTAAAAGGTCAGATCTACAACGCGTCTGTGAGAGCAGTTTTGCTCTATGCCTGTGAAACCTGGCCTCTCCGAGTTGAGGATGTTAGACGACTGTCTATGTTCGATCATTGCTGTCTCCGAAGGATTGCTGACATCCAGTGGCAACACCATGTCAGTAATGCAGAGGTTCGGCATCGTGTGTTCGGGTACAGAGACGATAATGCAATTAGTGTCACCATCTTGAAACACCTACTTCGGTGGCTTGGACATGTTCTACGAATGTCGTCCCAGAGAATTCCACGTCGTGTATTATTTGCCGGCACTGGGACTGGTTGAAAAAAGCGGGGAGATGTTCAGTGTATGGCATGGTGTCGTGGTATGAAAGAAAGCTGCAATGGGCTGGCTTGTGTTGGTCCTTCACGACTCTCTGGCTGGGGTCCGAGAGATGATGTAACACAGTGGCTAGAGACGTTATTAGATATGGCTCCGAATAGAAGCCAGTGGCGATCCTGCTGTAACCTTCTTTTACTTCCCTCATAAAAAGTGGTTGTATGTTCGTTAACTGAAAGAATTCTTCTGATTGTACCTTTCCGTTTCCACCATTATCATTATTATTATTAATAATACACTACCTTATACTAATCTGTTCTCTTCTTTTTTCCATATACGCACCTTTTTTCTCTTCCCATTCTCATTGTTTTGTATGGCGCGTATATATTTGTTGCCCCCTTGTACCAATATTTATGTGTTCAAATAAATAAATAAGAACAATCAGTGATTGCTCTCAGTTTAGTTAAATTACACCCAGCTCCCAGATTTTAAATCGTTGTAACGAAATTTTTTGTTTGCAATTTTATTATTCAGCTTCTATTTAAGCAAGCATAACGGTCGGAAAATCAACCTGCAGACAAACATGGGGTACGCAGAATTGTCTGCTGTATTTTATGGTCGTCCTAATGCAGATATCAATACACCTCAGATCTCTTCTGTTACTGATTCTCATGCTCACAGTTTCCTTATTCATGGCTCCAGTTCTGTGTCTTCGAATCAAACAAGTCAAAGTAGTCAACAGACGCCAATCAGTGGATTACCAGGAAGCCCAGGAGCTCCAAAGACACTTGATCCCCCCAACTCAATTAGTACTTCTGGTCGGTTGAATGTACGGAAATATTTCTTACAGGTAAACATCTTTCCATATCTTCAAGAAATTTCACAAATATGTAATTAGCTAATAAAACCGTCATAAAACTTCTACTTTCAAAGTAAATACTGACCAAAACCATGTGATTATTCACACTTTGACATTAAGTTTTGCGTAGGTTGTCACTGTAGCGGTTTTAAGCGTATGTACTGTGGTGTCATTGGAACATAATAGATTTATGGTTAGCTAGTTATTTTAATTACTTTAAATCCACATTTTTATCTGATCAGTCAACCATTTAATTAGCAGCGTCATAGTGTCCCATACAAATAAACATTAAGTGTAACTTCCTAGTCTTTTTAATGAGACTAACGGGTGAAACTATTATTCATGGACGACCCTTGAGCGACGCTAAAGTGACCTAGAGCATGTCCACCCACTAACTAGGACTGAATGCGGGTCATAAAACAGTTTGAAGTATAAGGATCATGATTTACATTTGATGGTTAGGGTTAGAAATTAGATTTAGGGTTTTCATCATTCATTTTGCCCTTTTATGATAAATATACAGTCACCGAACTTACATTTAAACATTTTATTACTTTGCTCCTAGTCATAAATTTTATTCCATGTTTCTAGAATCCATTTTATCCCATTTAATTCTGTTTTTAAGCTGATAACAGCAGTCCTCTAAATGCAAGTTGTTGCTTCAGGACTGGTCTCCGTCAACACCTGAACTAAGGATAGGGAGTGAAGTAGTTGAACGCGTTGACAACTTCACTTATCTTGGAAGTCTGATCAGCCCTAATGGGTTGGTGTCTGACGAAATCTCAGCACGGATTCGAAAAGCTCGTTTGGCTTTTGCCAACTTACGTCACCTTTGGCGAAGGCGAGATATCCGTCTATCAATAAAAGGACGAGTATACTGCGCGGCAGTTCGTTCTGTTTTAATTTACGGCAGCGAAACATGGCCATTAAGAGTAGAAGACACCCGTAAGCTACTAGTATTTGACCACAGATGCCTTAGAAATATTGCTGGCATCTGCTGGGATCACCGGGTAAGTAATAGTGAGGTTAGACGCAGGGTATTAGGGAATGATGGTAAATCAGTTGATGAGGTTATGAATCTTCATCGACTGAGATGGTTGGGCCACGTGTTACGTATGCCTGAACACCGATTACCACGACGTGCAATGCTAACCGGGGTAGGGGATGGTTGGAAGAAAGTTAGGGGCGGCCAAACCAAAACGTGGCATCAGTGCCTGAAGTCACTAACTTCTAGTCTTGGCCATGTTGGTAGATGCAGACTACTTGGTTGGGGTCCGCGTGACTTTCGTAACCAATGGTTGGAGACTCTTGGTGACATGGCTCAGAATCTATCACAATGGCGTCGGTGTATACACTCCCTGTCTTCCCTTAAACTAAGAGACTAAAATCACTTCATTCTTTCTGTCTACGAACTAATTCTTTCTTCCTATACTATATCCTTATTTCAACCTTTGACCTAACCACTCCTATGAATCCGCTGTTCATCTTGCTGTGCTAATGAGGTATGGCAACCTGGACCGATGCACATATGTGCCTGGTCCTACGTTGTAGCTGACTGACTGACTGATAACAGCAGTGCTTTTAAAAACACTATATTTAATCCGAGTTTTTCTTATTAGTTAGTACCATGTGTTTATACCACATGGCATCACATATATATAACCCCGTATAATAAATTATGTACCTTAGTATTTAAAAAGGTATATTCATTTATGAATTATATTTCAACAATAAAATCCTTAAGCAGTGTATTATTATGACCCCGTACTCTACAACAGATATTTCAGATGCACTTAAAAGTGAAATTGACAAGTTTCGTTTGTCTTCTGTTCTTCCTTGCTAGTATTTACATGTAGGACTTGCTAATCAACGTAGAAGGTAATATTGAGAATGTAAAAATGCTGAATCTTTTCTTCAGGAAAAATAACCATTCCTTCACGTCATACAAAAAACATCGTATCCTATTAGCTTCGTTCTTACATTACTGTAACATCACTATTGAAAAAAGTGAATTATTGATATTAATTTGTTATTCCGTGGGAAAAAAACGTGAATGTAGTTGTAATAAGCTTTCTGATATTCACGTGAGATATTTCACTCTAATTTGTAGAGTAGGGTTAATTGATCAATTTTTATCTACTTTACAAGTTGAAATTCGTTTGGATTCTCCATGCTTGCTATACTTTAACACTAGTTGAACATTGCCATTATTCCAAATATTCCAATCACACTGTGTGTGTTTTATTGTTAAAGTTCTTAAAGGCTTCGAAAAAGTATTTTAAATTGTTAAAATAATTACTCATGTATACATTCAGTTATTAGATCATGTAGCATATTCTGTTGACCGGGAAAAACAGTATTCGACTGCTGTGTATATCAAAGTTCATTGGGTCATTTCCCCTTCCTTATTAAGTTCTCAGTCAACTTAGAACCTGGCACATATTTCCATTTGTTCAATTTGCTACACCATATCAGTACAGTGACATAAAATTATTGCGAAAGATTGCTCCATGTACATTCATATTACATTTTAGTAGTAATTATTTGATCTCCACAGGAATTGTAGTTTCCAACGTTAGAAATAGTGGGATTATCACCTATTATGCTGTTGTCGTGTTTCTCAGTCTATTTTTTCAGACTTGGTAAGCGTAAGTCGAAGTAATTTACGCGATAAGTATAAACTAATAGAACAAAAACAACTACAACAGGAAAAGCCATCGTCCTAACCTAACTAATTGTATTTATTCGTTTTGATTCTATTAAGTCCTTCATATTTCCTATACAGACTGATTTATAATCAGCATCCTGTGACTAGTAGCCCTTTTTTATAATCTTTATTTCCACGTTTAATTAATATTAAAATCAGTCGGTTCATGGTAAATTAACAGTGAATTTGTAACTTTATGTCCCAAATGGTCAAAAATAATTGTATTATAGTTTAGATCACAACATGGTGAATTACAGTTATTCACACTTCAGAAATAATTCCGAATTAATCACTATCAATTTTTATTTATAAAAAGGGATAGCATCTCATTTGACAGTAATCTCATAGAGCTATTCAGCTTAGCTTCATAAAGTTTGTTTCAAGAGGGTCAACTTACATGTTAAGCAGTTGGTCGCTGACATTAGGTCCACTGTAAGTTGCATTATTTTTCGTTATTGATAATAGTAAGCTGATGGTTGTAATTAATCTAGTTAGAAATTATTGGCAAAGTTACCAGTAAATCAGCTGGGTGGTACCTGAAAGCACCGTGTAAAACTCAAATGAAATATCACAGTATCGCTTATAGCCTTCATTATATTCAGCGCTAGTAATCAACTCCTAGTTTTTTTACATCTATTTATTAAAAATCATTTGAATTACGTTGAAATTAATCACCTTGCCCACATAGAATAATTAATGATCTTATTCACCAACTCTGTATTTGCACATCGTTGTCTCTAAAGGATTGCTGATATTCAGTGGCAACACCATCGTAGTAATGCAGAGGTTCGGCAACTTGTGTTAGACCACGGCGATGACAATTCAGTTAGTGTCACCGTCTTGAAGCACAGGCTTTGGTGGTTAAGATGTGTACTACTAATGTCGTTCTAGCGAATTCTACACCGTGGATTATTTCCCAGCACCAAGACTTGTTGGCAAAAGCGAAGAGGTGATCAGTGTATGACAGTGTCGTGGTATTTAAAAAACGTACAAGGCTGGCATCTGTTGGTCTTCCGCTACTCCCTGGTTGGGATTTTAAAGATAGTGCAACTTAGTGGCTTGAGACATTATCAGACATAGCTGAGAACAAAAGCCAGTGGTTGTCTCGCCGTAACTTTATTTTACTTTACTCATATAAGTGGGAGAAACTTCTTTAACTGGGGAAATCCTTTCTTGTCGGATTTTCTCAATTGAACTACTTCCCCCATTCACTTATTTTTGTTCATTTATTGTATTTTTTTATGCATCACCTTTTCACAATCTCATTGAGTGGAGCACATTTATTTTTATCCCCATTTGTATCAAAATTTATGTTTAAACAAAATAAAATATTTACCACAAATCTATGTTTTAATCAGCTAACTTGTGTTAATGAATCGTTTTCATTCCATCATTTTGTATTATAAACATTAAAGGAAGCAAATAAAGATTATTGTTTGAAATGTGATGGAAAAGATTTCTAAGTTTTATGTTTTCGTAAGTGTTATCAGTGCATCTATGGTTGAACAATTGATATGCTTGACTTCCAAACACTATATCACTAATTCAAATCCAACTCCGTCCATCAGGATTTGATCATCTCTATTTTATTACTAACCATTACTTTATGGATATAGTTTAATGTCCAAACAATGAGTCTGCTCTTAGCTACTAAATATCATTTAATTGATACGTGTGTTTCAGCAGCCGCTTAATACATAGCTTTTAATCTTATTTAAATAGTGGTATCATTTTACCTCATAATTCGACTATCAAAGCCGACTAATTCACCACTACAATGGTTCTTCATATCAATCATCTCTTTATTATACCAGAATATACTTATTTTCCAGACCAGTTATATAGTTCATAGGTTTCAATCGTGGTCTACCTAGCTTGTTTTACCCAATCACTTGACATCTCTAACTCTTAGAGTTTATTAAAAACTTGTCAACAAATGTGTTTTTATCAGCGTATGATTGTAAAGATTGCTGAATTCTATTGAGATCACGGACCGAAGGTCCTAGGTTTGATTTCCAGCTTCAGGGTCGTGAATGTGTACTACTGAGTCCCAGCTTAGAATTGCACGACCATCCAATGCTTCTGGGCTTCCACTGGTTGCCTAAATAAAGTTGTTTTTGCTTTCTTTTCTTCATCTCTTTTGGTGAATAATAATGGTGGAAATCTGACTAGTGAATTATTCAACCGTTAACAGCTTACATATTTCCCGTTAGAGGTCATCCGCCTCTGAAATCAATCAAGCGAAATTCTTGGAAACTAACATGCTTCTACTCTTCGATATATTTCTTTTTTTAAATCAATTGTTTGTTATTCCAGTTTTTTAATGGAACTCATAATAATTCTTGTATGTGTTATGTTTACATGGATTTACTAATGTATACTTCTTATAATATACCTTTTTATTCTCAATTTTTAGGTCTCCACATATCAAATGATTATATTAATGAAATTCAATCGACGAAATCGTTATAGTTTTATTGAATTAGCGAGTGAAACAAATATTCCTGAACGTGAATTAAAACGTAGTCTTATGGCTTTAGCATTAGGTCGTTGTAGTCAACGAATTTTATGCAAAGAACCTAAAACACGTGATATAGAGTCAACTGATATATTCTATGTCAATGATTCATTTGTTTCGAAACATATTAAAGTTCGGGTATGTCTAAACTATATATATATAATTTGTATGGTTTATTTTTTTAAAACTTATTATCACTAATTCAATCATTACTAGTGTGTTGAGGTTTCTTACGTTAGATTTATTTGTCGTGATATTTATACACATGTATTATGTGATTATTCTGAATTTTACATTTTCAACCGAAATGGTTATTTTTAGTAATCTGTTACCAGAAAACAGTACTCCAATATTGTCATTAAATAATATTCCTGGATTTGTAATTTATTACAAATGTATTTGATTATTGATTGATTGTAAAGAGGAATAAAATTTGAATTTAGGTCTTGTTTTTGACTACCCTCAATCATCCGATATTAGGTATCATATGCATATTAAGATGACATTTTACTTCTTGGATAATAAAAATTTTGAGCATTAGTGTTTCTTTCAGGTGACGACAATTTCTAAATTTATGATTTGATATGATTATGAAAGAATATCTTCGAAACATAAAACTACTTAGTCTGATAATTTAACTTAAAATAGTGTTTCTGAGCTGCTTTGTTCATGGTGAATTTATTTTTGAACAAGGTATTAAATTTTCAGAAACCTACTTTATTTTGTCTTGCAGATCAAACTAATAGATTCCCCTAGATTAATTTTAACAACCCTCATATTAAATATCACATAATGCTCTGTTTCTACTCGTTTACCTTCTCCGCTTCCAGTTGCGGATTCGCTGTACGTCGTGTTTTCTTCTATTCTTAGTTTTTTTTTCTAATTAGAACACCCTCTTGTCTGTTCATCGATTTCAGCAAAGTTTGTGTGCAAACTCCTAACATACTGAATTTTCTACAACCTAAATAACTAATTTTAAGTTACATGAACCCGACAGTGTTTCACCCATTCTTTTCCTTTCACTAGTTTTAAAATTAGGCAATCTAGTCATATAACTATCTTTTTTCGGATTAGTCTATTCAGACTTAATATTAATTAACCGTTACTGATCTCACATAATGATTTCATATGTTCCACTTTCTCTACTCCTCAGTCGTCATGACCATGATTGAAACTTCTAACAAATCTAATTTACCACCTCCAACCCATCACAGTTAAGGATAAAGCAACTCGTAGTAAATAGACTAATGTATTTTCTGCATAACTAGCTACTGACTCGTTTAACTGTGTACTGATTCAATCTGTTATTGATCTTTCCCATATTTTTATCTTTAGGTTCAAAGTATCACTGTTAAAGAAAGCGAACCAGAACGTCAGGAAACGCGGACAAAAGTAGATGAAAATCGACGTTATGTGATTGAGGCAACAATTGTGAGAGTCATGAAAGCTCGTAAAACTTTAAGTCATGGACAACTTGTTGTTGAAGTTATCGAACAATTAAAATCGCGCTTTGTACCTACCCCCCTAATGATTAAACAACGTATTGAATCGCTTATTGAACGAGAATTTCTTGCTCGATTAGAAGATGATCGTCGAGTTTATAAGTACTTGGCCTAATCTCATTTTGTAAACCAAATCTAAATACAACCTGTATCTTTCAAGTCCCATCCTACCATTCCTTGCGTCTATTCTCTATTCTCTCCGCTGTCAACAATTTTCAAATTACTCCTATGATGTGTTGCAAGATGATGAGCTTTAAATAATGATCAGAATAAATCTGATTGCTCATTATCAATTAATTGAATAAATCAAATCATTGTTCTCAATTTACTACTACAAACCTAGTCTTCATCAACTTACTACAGTTAAGTTATCTATGACTTTTTGTTTCCTTTGCAAATCTCATGCTTCCATTTCAGTTTTTTTATTAAACTACTAACCTTACCTACATAAATTATATATGATTCGTTATTTTGTTTATGTACATATTCTAATTGCCTCACTCTTTTAAGTTTATGCATTCTAAAATTGATTCATTTTATCCTCATTCATAACTTTTGGAAAATGTGGAATCAATGTTAATTACTCATTTCTTCGTTTCTTTCTCCATTCAAATGTGCAGTTACCCACAGTACTAACTTATATCATTTGGCTAAAAGCATCTCCCTTGTTACAGTAAATAATACGATTATTAATGCGACGGGCAACTTCACATATTTCGGTGAGTAAATGAACTTACTTCTGAACAAGGAATGAAGCAATCGGCTGTGTCAAACAATATGTCTAATTACTTCTTCAATCTTATGTAGTTTGTCTTAACTGTACACATTTTGAGCAGTTTAAATCTGCCATGCAATGAATGCTTTTATTTATGGTGGAGTATTTCTCCTTTTTGAGTTTTAGTCCTACACAAAGCCCTGTCCACATTATTTTTTGTGTAAGCTACATATATGTATCCACTCAAGTAAGGCGTATTTTCTCGCCAAGGTTAACTTTTCTCTCAAGGTTTTATTTTCGTATGTTTACTTTCTCTAGGTGTTGCTTTAAATTGTAGCACATAGTTTTGTGCAGTATATGTGTTTTTTTAGTGTATTCAAGGTTTGACTTTAAAACTACTATGAATTCAGTGCTATCCGTTAGCTTGTTTTCTGTATCAATTGATATCTTGAATCAATCAGTTTATCAGGGTGCACTGTACACTGTCTGCTATTTATCAATGTTCTGATAGTTGGTAAAAATGATACTAATTTCTTTTCACTTATTTTCTAAATACGAGGTAATTTTACCATAATTGTTGACCTCATAAACAACTCGGTCGCGTGAGCATTTAAAAGTGCTATGAGTTCGCAATTAAATTAAAGTAACAGCTAAGTCTATATTATTATTTTGTGTTTTTAGACATCATTTACTAATTTGCAAATTGAATACGTTCGTTAGACACTATCAAAATTGCATGTAAAGGTAATTAGTAGTTAACTCGCAAAGTGAAATATCTTGTCTGGATAACTTTAACTGAATGCGTGTTCTCGACTACACTGAGTCTCAATACTTTGGACGACTAAGATATTTACTAGGTTATGACGGCCGCTTCATTTTAAGGAGTGTTTTCGTGTCCTGAAGTGACCAGAACGGGTAATTACTGAGATATCCCATTTGTCTAGTCCTATGATTTATTGAAATAAGATTCTTTAAAAGGGATATCTGCACAGGATTTCTAATGAGTTCACAACAGGAATCCAAACCTACCCCAATATGAAAGGTGTATAATTTGGGGTTTCATGAATCAGCTCTTATGCAGAATCTAATCCATTATCGAGAGATTGTATTTTCCGTATTTAAAACGGGAAGAAAAATTGAGGTTTCTAGAATTAATACAAATTATGAGGGGTTTCGCCTGGATGAAACAGTTCAGTAAGATAACGTATTGGAACTTGCTTTCTTCTATGCAGTCACCTTTGATTGGCGCATACACTTTGCTTCGCACTTGAACTCTGGCTCTTTAATCCTTGTTTATTCACTGTAGCAGAATAAGGAAGCAGTATGGTAGTAAAATTCTTATTCATTGCTTACTTGTTTCTCAGAGATTATATAGTTGTCTTTGGTGGCAACCGTGTTGTTTGATCGACTTGTCAATTATCGTAAACAGCCAGCGTTACTCCTGAAATAAAGCTCGTCGTCAGTCAAACGCTCCGTTAAACCTTTAGTTGGATCATAGTCTCGTGACTCCATATATCGAGGAACTGTCTTATTCGGAAGTGATTATATCTCCAGTAAAATAAATGTGTTAGCAGTCGTATTTTCCAGAAATAATGACAAATGAGATGGATTATGCAGTTTTTTTAAATGTCCTACTATTTCTTGAGCAAGATGTCATAAGGTCCCAGTTACTGCAAATTACATCTTTTTGCATAATCCATGATATGGTAGGACCCTAATTTTCGTCGTATAAAACTTTGAAATATCTTCCTTACTTGTACTTGGCAACGTTCATTCTAAAAAAGAAGAATTGGTAGTTGTTTGTAGTGAACTGCATACCTAACACAGATGAACCAAGCTTCTGTCGTAGCATTTGACCCTTTAGTAGTAATAACGAATTTCCGAGTAATCATGTATACGCTATTTTTAGTCATGGTCACTACAGTACAAGACCTATTGACAAATTGAATATTATCAAGGCTGGGTGGTGGTGTCCAGTACCATATCAAGCCCACATGAGTTATTCTAGCTTCCAAACAGACCAATTTATTCATTCTTCTTGAGTCACATTATGACCTTGTTAATTATTCCCCTGTCAACATTGACTTTTTATGTAAGCGGATGTGTGTACATTGCTTATCCTATTCATCACGTTTTTAGCTTGTTTTTGTTTGACTTTAAACGTCAACTGACGCTTGATTAAGTTGAGTTGGCTCACTTGACTCCTCTGATTCGTTTCGTGTCATTTATCTGATCGTCTGTTTGGCATCAACGATCGCATATCCAAATTCGATTCTCGTATTCAACTTATTTAATTCCGTTATTCGCTAACATGATTCAAATCGATGATTATATATGAGGGTAGCCGAGACGTATTTTTCAATAACAGTCATTCATTCAATCATCAAACGACCTAATTGGAGTCAGATAAATGACTACTAAAGTATCATGCAGTCTCCAACCAACAACTGCGATGATACTGAAAAGAGGTAAAAAAAAAAGTGAACAACAGCGCAGAATAACTTGTTATAACTGCAAAAGTAGAGCTATTTGTAGCAGAAAAATATGACACGTAAAATAAGTTGACGAACTTAACTAAACACTAGGTTAACTGTTATTCAAACATTCTCAGATAAATTACAGAACAGTAATAGTCAACTAAGTTAAGTAGAGTTCAAACTCATGGACAGAAAGATCAAGTAAACGAGTAGGATAACTGTGCGGACTTCGGAAATGTGATCTAAATAATAGATTTTATTAAGCTCAAATCTTTATTATTTTTGAACAACCTGCAAACACCACGGGAGAACGACACTAGTAACAATGATTAGTCCACAGTACACACTTTTGTCAAATATGCAGATGATCTCACTATATGTATGCCTATCTCTTCCTCTTTGCATCCCATAGGAATGAGTGAGTTTTTGTCTCGTATTGATGATTGGTCTGTTGTTAATGGTGTCATACTTAATCCGTCTAAATGTCAAGCTGTTAATTTTAGCATAAGACATGAACGGCATCTAAACACCATTTTGAGATCCCATAATGCTTGTGCCATTGGAGACTCTTTGATAAACACAGTGCCGAAAGTCAATTATCTTCGTGTTACTTTTTCCTCTGATCTCTCTCGGTCTTCTCATGTTTTACTGTTATGGAAGAAAGTTTTCCGTCTGACTTACTACATGAAGAGACTACATGCTTTTGGGATTACTCGTCATTTACTCTTACAATTTGTCAACTGCATATTGCGTATTATTCTTTGCTGTTCTCCATTATTCTTTCCCGGGTTTTTGAGAAAAGACTTTTCTGCATTGCGGAGAGTACTGGAGGCAGTTAGCAAGGTGTGTGGTGAATTTTTTTTGGAGGTCATAGTTAATTTGGTTGTGGATAGACATCTAAAGTCATGCAAACTCCTGCCAGGTGTTATCAGATACTAACCATCCTCTTCACTCATATCTTTCTCCTTGTATATCTTCTGGTAGAACGAGACGTAATTACATTGAAATCCATGCACTCAAGCAAAAGTATAAAATTTCTATAACACCTTACCTAGCAAATATACTCTGTGACGAACAGGTTGTTAGAGTTAACCTAGTCAATAACCTGCATTCTTGACATTTCTCTAATTTGGAGAGTTGTACAGTTTTTCAGATTTTTTAAACGTTTTTCTGTCTTTGTTTCTGATTTTTTGTATAAGGAAATTGTTGAAATACCCTGTGCTGAGAATTATATATTGTAATAAATATAATATTGAATAAGGCCATTAATAATAATAATCCTTCTAATTATAAAAATACGGAGATTCAAGGGGATAAATGCTTATTTCTAATGAACTTAAGTTTACCACGTAAAACCTAGAAGAAGCTAACTCCAATATGCAATATATATGTCACGAACTTGTATAAACCGATTAATTTATTTGCGCTCGCCTTTCGTTTTGATACGGTTTCAGGTATTTGGTAATGTCCAATGAGTAGTTCTCTAGCCACTTGACTGCACTAATTCTAATCAATTTAATAGCTATTTGTGTATTTATATATCTTGCAGTTTGAGTGGGTGCATTTGTCTAAGGGTAGTAGGTTTCTGGAGACCGGCAGCTATCACATTACCAGACAGGAGGTCGGTTCATAGCAATGCGAAAAACAATTGATAGAAAATTTGAATGCTGAGTGAAGACATTTGTTTCAGGAAAGAAATAAACAAGTTGGCAATGCAAACGGTGTGGGGAGATCAAAATGTAGGAATTAAAGGCGAAATGGAGATGATGATAGGTGATATAGGGACAAGTAAATGATATGTGACACGGACAACAGTAAGTAAGTTATGAGACATCCATCAGACACAGCCGGTTCAAGTGAAAGATGTTAATTTGTGGGTGGGTGTGTGTTCTTCAAGTGTCCTCTTGAAGTTGTCTCGTAGGAGGAGGGCTGGTAGCACTACACCATTGTGAACATTACAGTCGGGCTGTGCGCACGTTTTGATGAGATTTAGGGGCGATTCTGGGATTATTGCGTGAAGTTTCCTCTACATAAAGTGAAGGGTTGCATTTGCCATGACCTTATAGTGACTCACATTTATCACGAGAACACGACTGGTTTAATAAAAACAATTATTATTATAACCAACTGTACCAGTGTTTGTTTTAATCTGCTTTTGTTTGACTGTGCTAATGACAGCTATTTTTTGTGCTTCCATTCTTATTCACACACTTTGATTGTAACTTTGCGCGAATTCGGTTACGTTCTGTAACCAAGCCTCTATCCTGGCACGATCTCGGTATCCTTCCGATACCACGAGATCGCCAGCAAATATATATCTCGATTTGGTCCATTAATTGCCTTCTGGTATTTGGCTTCTTGGAGATTTTATGGATCTATTTGGTTACGTTCAGCCTACGCCTTCTGATTTATTTGGCACGTGTTTCTTGGTAGCGGTGTTCATAGTCAACCGCGACTCAACCCCACGCTACAACCTCATCTCCTGTTAGTTGTGTCCATAACCAAACAAACAGATCGTTGCTTAAACGTCCACCACGTCAATCTGGTCTGACGTATCTGTAGCCTGTCTCTGTTACACTTGACCTACCAATTCAAAAACATTATTGTCCTATCATATCAGCGTGATTCATGATTTTTGTTCATTTCGACAAGACACGCAATACTAGTCGGTGTGTTTGTGCGTTCCTCGTAATGACTATAATTCCTTCAGTTATTGTACTAACCAAATTGTTTTTAAGTTTAGAAACATAAAGTTCAAAGCCAAGTTGTTATTGTTCTAACTATAGCTTTCACATAGACTCTGGGTCGTCAGTATCGTGTTTTGTAGTTCTAGTAGTATATCTGTAAGACGAATTAAATCCTATATCCCCTATGTAGTTTGAGCTGATTTCTAATATTTCTGTGGTCACTAGCTCGAGATTGCGCTCTGAGGAGACAGTCGGAAGCGGATTTCCATAGAGGGTTCAAGTGTTTGGTACCAGATGAGACAGAATGTTCATGACTCGGTATTTCGGTAGACCAACTTTTAATCTATTGTCTACTGCACATTCCCCAGGTGCTA